GATCGGAAAAGGGAGGAAGAGGGAAAGCGGAGCAGTCGTGGGGCTGTGCAGGCTGTAACCGCATCTCCCGTTGTCTCTTCCAGGCCAGCACCGCCGCCAGGCAGCTCCTGCAGACCAGCAAAGGCCCCTGGTCCCCCCAGTTCAAGTGCGCGTCCCTGCGGACGGCCTCTCCCAAAGCCAAGGGCGCGGATTCGCCCCCCTTCCCCAAGGTGCCCGACTCCAGGCGGAAGAGCCTGCGGCCGTTCTCCATCACCACCGCCCTCAACACCCTCAACCGCATGGTCCACGCGCCCGGCGAGCGCCCGGCACTGGAGATCAGCTCCCCCGTGCTCATCAGCTCCAGCAACCCCACCGTGGCCACGCAGAGCAGTGAGAAAGCCGAGTTTCCCTACGCATCCCCTCTCCAGGTAAGGCACCCGCGCCGGGGGGACGCAGGAGCAGTCCCGGGCACATCCTGGGTAGAAACGCCCATTGCACAACGTGCAAAGCCAAAGCAGCATCAGTGGGATACAGCATCCCGGGCTGCCTGGGGTTTCTCCCTCCCCTTTTGCATTGGAAAGGTCTGTCCTCAGAGTTCAGGAGCCCAAGGGAATTAATGAGGAGATAAATTAAGTTATCAGAGTAACTAGACATGGATAAAGCACAAACCCGTTCTGGTTTCAGTGAGCTCCAGGTGCAGGGTGGAAGAAGAGAGCTCGACTTGAAAAGTAAAACACTCTCACTTGAGAAAGTAGTGAGGGACGTGAATTCCCACGGGAGCTGACTGAGCCCCGGCTCCCTCACGGACGCACACGTGTCTCTGTGTGCCCAGTTCACACTGCAGGCCAACATCTGCTTTGCCATGTAATGATGAAAACCAAAACCAGGCAGCTCTCAGCGTTTGCAAAGTTAAAGCTAACACCAGCCATTGGCCACGCTCATCTCCACTGCTGCGAGCCTTCCCGAGCTCCTCTCTCAGTATTAAATCACAGCAGCGTGGCAGGACCTGCAGGATCAGACCCCGAATTGTGAGCAAATGAAACCCCATGCGATCAGTGAGGGAGCTGCACTGCGCCGAGCAGGGCTGCATGGACAGCGATGGCTCTGGCGGCCTCTGCATCTGCCCCCAGGATTAACAGGGGAGTAGAAACCTGCCCTTTTTACTAATTGCTGCTTCAGTTTTTCTGGTAAGCCTCAGGCATACGAGAGGTCCCAGCATCCCCAGTGATAAGCATTGGGATTAATCAAAAGTCCTGAGATCTGGGCACAGGAGATGGCTCGTTTGGGCACCTCTGAACCCTTTGCTCTGCCCATGTGGACACGCACAGGCGTTTTGGCAGCACAGAGCTCCATCGCTCTACCCAAATCCACAGAGTTTTCTCCAAAGACAAAGTGCCCACAGGACCAGCATCCTCCCACACCACCCGTTCGGTGCTGGTTTGCCATAAAACTGCAGAAATAACAAAGCCACCTCCTGCTGCTTCCAGGCAGTGCTTTGGGAAAGCAATGGGGTCCTTGCCCTGCCCTGAGCGAGCCCTCTGCCCGCATCCATCCACATCCAGACAGATGGTTTGTCCCAGGAGTCTCACCCATGGCAATCTCAGCCGGAGGCTGCGCTCGGAGACGCTGAATTTGGGGCTGGGGTAATAAACGTGGCCTGACCTTTTGGGCTGCAGCCGCTTGTGATGTTAGGATGCAAAAGAGCCTCATTCCTCCTCCACACTCTGACCAAAGATGTCAGTGCAGCATCTTCACAGGTCATCTGAAATGGGAGGAAAGAGGCTTTGTTTAGATTGATACAACACCTTTCATATTCAAGGTTACTCTAATGCTTTATAAAGCAATAAGCCAGGCCCTGGTAGCCCGGTGTCTGTGCAATAAAACCCAGCAGGCGTTTTGTGCTTAGCAATAGCCTGCAAAGAGCCCTGGATGTTAGGTCCCAGTTTATGTGAGAGGAAATGAAGCCTTACAACAGAGCCATAATTCAATTGAAGTGGTATCGCATCTCGTGAACCCAACGTAATTTCACCAGAGGCGTCTCGGTGTGAGCCGTCGTCGACAGCAGCAGCAACGGAGCGAAGGTGTTAAGGTGCTGCCTTACAGGGGTCGGAATTTCCTCTCCTGAACAGCAGCTTTGCTGGACTTTGGGGCTTGCAGGACTGAGGGGTAACGGGGTGGTGAGAGCTGCTGCTGGTCCCAAGGGCTGCTCTGCCCTGCCGAGCCTCGGCAGCGAGGGCTGGGACTCTGGAGAAACAGCAGCGCACCCCCAAAAGTGCGGTGTTTCCGCGGCAAATCAGCACAGCGTCACCTGGGAGGACCAGATCTGTGCTTCTCGGGGTTAAACCACTCCAGATGAAAGAGCAGTTCAGAAATAACGAGCAGTTCATGCCACTGCCAGCCCTGGAAACTCAGCCCTGGACTACACATCTCAAGCTGGGGTCTTCTGCTATGACCCCAAACCGCCCCGGAGCCGGCCCCAGACAGCCCGGCCCCCTGCAGGGGAGCCCGAGACCTGGGCAAGACCCAACGATAGCTTTGGGTCTGGTCATTTAAGAAGAAGACCCATGCGTTTTGGATGGATGTGTTCATGTCCTTCCTTGGGGTGGGAGTCAAAAGAAGTGGGGATTTTCCAGCAGCTTGTAGTTACACGGCACTTGCCCTATGGGACCACATAGGTTTGAGGGGGACAAAGAGGAGCATTCGTGTCCCCCTGAAACACCCTGTGCGAGTTGTGCCTCCCCACAATGTCACCGCTCCGGCAGCGTTGGCGGGGCACAGGGAGCAGTGGGGCCGAGGCGGTTGCACGGGGCAGCTGCAGGGCTTTCCGAAACGCGCTGTGCCTGCCTGGCGTCTCCACTCCGAGGATCAGGTCCATAAAAGGCATGAACCGGCAGCGGGCCCTGCCCCAGCTCGTCCTTCTCCGCCACGGTGCCAAGCCGGAGCCTGAACCGGTTTGCAGGGCTGGTGGTGCCCGTGCCGGTGGCTGTTGCACAGTGTCACCCGCGTGTGGTTGTTGTACAAGCAGGACAGCTCTTGGGTGAAGGGAGGGTGGAGGGGTTGGCTCCAGGGGCTGCAGAAATCCCTTCCCGGTCACAACCCTGGGCTGGCGGTGCCCGGGTCAGGACGCGGCTGCTGAGAGCTGCTGCCCTTTGCCACTCGTCGGAGCTGACGAACCTGACCTGCACCGTCTGGGACATTGGCTTTTCCATGTAAGTCATGATCTGGAGCTTGCAGGACTCAGCCCTCAGCAGCACCGACTGCCCCGCAGTGGGATGGGGGCATCGCCCTCCCCAGCAGCATCTCAGGAACCTCTCGACAGGGAATCACAGAATCGCTCGCTCGGTTGGAAAAGCCCTCTGAGATCATCACGTCCAACCGCTCCTGTCTACCCCCTAAACCATATCCCTAAGTACCTCATCTACCCGCTCTTTAAACACATCCAGGGATGGTGACTCCACCACCTCCCTGGGCAGCCTGTTCCAGGCTGGAAGCACCAGTGTCAGTGGGCACAGGAGAGGGGAGCGGAGCTGGGGACCCCGCTGGCACGAGAGAGACCCCAAAAATCCAGCGAGGGAGATGGAGCCAGGGAGGGGTACAAGAGGCAGGAGATGAAACTGCACACATAGGGGCTGCAAGGCACTCGCAGGAGAGCAGCAGAAGTGAATGGGAAATATTTCATTCAGGCTTTTTTCCTCTCCGTTGAGAACACAAACCCTGCTTCGATGCAGGCTCTGAAGGGCACGCAGAGGGGGAACAGAGAGAGATGAGAAGTGTGAACCTTTCCATCCAGAATTGGAGATTTCAACACAGCTCCATCGGGAAAACCAGCAAAAGTTGTCATTTTGCTCCAATGCAGGAAAAACCCTGAACTCCCACATTTCAAAGGGTTTGATTATGAAAATTAGTACAGCAGAATTAGAAATGCCAATGAACAAACGTTACATGAGAGCCTGGTCTGACCCCACCTGCACTAGAAAACAAGGAAAGCAGAGCTGGTTTGAGGCTGACCTGGCGCTGCAGGGCCGCAGACAGAAGCTGGAGCTGCTGGGTTTCATTAACTTCATTTACTGCAGAGCTGTGAGTCACTTTTCTCCTTCCCGAGCCAGCGCCCCAGCCCCGCGTTCCAGACCTGAGCACCAGGAAGCGGGTTTGAGGTGAGCAGCAGATGAAAGCCCTGGGAAGCTGCACCGCCGAGGATGCTGCACCGCTGAGGATGCTGCGGTCTGTGCTGGAGAGCGCGGCCGAGCCGCCCCGGGGGCTCTGTGCCGTCCTGAGCTGCCCCCGGGATGTGGCTGCAGCCGCCCGGCCCCGCTGGGAGCTCTGCCTTCCCCCCGCCAGCCGCACCGCACGGATCTCACATGGGGATGAGCAGCCTTCACCCCGGGGTGTGCTGTGGTGCTCTAGCAGGGACAGACCAGCAGCGGAGCATCCTGAGGATGTGGAAAAGCAAAGTTCAGAAGCCAAACGGGTGAGCCCCGTTTGCAGGGTGGGATGAGCACCATCAGTCCAGCCAAGCCCTACCCTGGAGGGTCTCGCTGCCACAGGGGCAGGACCATCAGTGTCCCTCTTAGCGCCTGCTCTTCTGTTTGTCGGATGCTCCAAACTCTTCCTCCTCCCGAAATGTCTTTGTATTTTTTCTGAAGGGTGTCCAACGTTTTTAGCTGCTTTTAAGGTGGCTAAAATAATAAGTCTATATTCAGATTAATGAATTGTTTTCCTTCTCCCCATAGGTCAGTGCGTCTTACTACCCGGGATCGCTGGGGCACTCGGCAGCCATCGTCACGCTGCCCCACCTGCAGCACCACGTCTCAGCCTACTTGTACGTATGGAAACCGAAATACACGGGGGGTTTGTGTGAGTTCCTGTCCCCTCACCCAGGGCTCCTCCAGCTGAAGGCAGAGCAGCTCCCGTGTCTGGGGTCCAAATGCAGGTCCATGCAGGGACGTGCTGGGCTCCTCTGAGCAGGGGTCACAGAAACACTGGTCACAGTGGAACTCAGAGATTAAATGTAGGAAGATCAAGGGGTGCAGAAGGACGTGGGTCCACTGCTGGAAACGGCTCAGATTGATTCTGATGCTTCCCTCGTCCAAATCACTGTGCTTCTCTTTTGGGGTTGTATTCTAGGAGGTGAACTGTCACCATGGCTCACTGAGCCACTCACAGACACAGGGCTCTGCCCATGTGCCAACAGCGCACTTCACATTTTTAAATGTAAAGAAACTAATTCCTCCTTAAGCGCCTCCAGGTATTCATCTTAAGCAAGGCAGCGATGGTCACTGCTGCTGTAGATGACCCAATCTTGTAAAACTTCCCCGAGTCAAGGTTTGCAGATAGCAAATGTGAGGGTTGGCTTCCTGCAGACGGGGTTCACCAGCCTGGTGCTGTGTTCGGCTGCGCAGCGACAGCAGCAGCAGCAATGAGCTCTCTGTGCCCAGCAGCAGCTCCACGGTGTTAACAGAGCCGTGGAGACATCAGCCCATGAGCAGTGTCTGTGGACCTGCACCACGCTGTGGTGGTTGCTGCGCTCACGGCCGCCCCAGGATACTGCACACACTGAATCAGCGCCCAAGACCGTAAAATAATTTGCAGAACGTGGATTGGATTAAAGCGTTCAATCTGCCGCCTGCTTTGCACAGCTCCCTTTTCAGCCCTGCAATAGCAAACCAGACTCCGACTGTCCTGTCCAAAATGAGCCCTGGATAAAGCAATAACCACTGCAGAATTAAACTCCCCTGCACTGAACCCACCTGGTCTGAGCAGTCACGGGGTGAGAAGTCACTTTGTGCAGACAGGCGTTTGGGGTCGGACTTGCCCATGGCTGTTCTGAACTGTGGGGACAGAAAAACCTTAAAAGTTATGGGATAGTCCTTTACGAGACAATTGGTCACCGGTTCTGGTTTTAACACAATACCTGGTAATTGCTGTACCGGTCTGTAACTCAGTAATGGTTGGGAGCAGATCACATCCCCCTTGGAAAAAGGAAACAAAACCAAAACCCCACCAAACAGTGCAATTGATGTGTTACAGGGGAGGCAAACCGAAGTTCTTTAAATAACAAACGGGAAAACTTGAAAAACACATCCCAGTGCCAGCCTGGGCAGGGGTCTGGTCGCAGGATAACGGGGAAGGGAGGCAATGGGGTGAGCAGGCGCTGCTGGAGGGCAGCGCTGTGCGGATGCTCAAGGCGAGGAGATGCGGGGCCGCTGGCTCAGAGAGAGAAGAGCTCAGGGATGGCCCCAGCGCCCGCACAGGGCAGTCACCTCCTTTCCCCCGTGTCCCCCAGGTGCGTGGCTCTCCACTCCTACGCGCCCCACGGCCCCGACGAGCTGGAGCTGCAGAAGGGAGAAGGGGTGCGCGTTTTCGGGAAGGAGCACGAGGGCTGGCTGCGGGGCATGTCCCTGGTCACCGGCAGGGTCGGCGTCTTCCCCAGCAACTACGTCGCGCCCCTCTTCAGGTCTGGTTCTTCTTGCACAGAGGGATGCAGGTAGCACGGGGGGTTGGGGTCTCCTCGTTCCCGCAGAGGAGCCGCTGCAGGGGATTTAA